TTTTTTTAAAAAGTCTGTACCTGTCAGATATTCAAAGTGAAACAGTTACAGGTGAAATTATGTCCTGGATTTGTTTTGAAATATCCCAGAATTTTAAAAAATGGAAGAATAAGGGGTGATAAGTGAAGTAATAATTTAAAATACTGAAGGTGAGGAATCGGTAAATGGTTCCTTATATTGTTCTGATTTTGTATTTTAATCCATAAAATATTAAAACAATGATCCCTGCATGTCTCAATATTATGGTCATGTATATATGAAGCTGCCTTATGTAGTGAAAAGCATGATACATCAAGTAAATCAAAGAGACCAGAATTCAAGAAAAAGATATATTTGTATAACCATAACACAGTCACTGACAGTTAAAATGAACTTGAAAAACCGTCTAATTCAATGCCTTGAATTTAACAGCTATAAAAAAATGAAATCTAATACATTCAAACTTCATGTTGCAGCCTAGCTAGTAATTCTACTTTTGTTATTTACCAATGACATATCTGAAAATTGAAAATACCAGCCTACACTCGCACCCCGGACCTGCTCACCCTCACATCCAATGGACTGTTCTCCATCCTCACTTTACAAGACCACTCAGCCACATCCAGCACTTTACTTCCTGTAAAGCATCTACCATTCTGTCTTCCCACTTCCCACCCCTGCACTTCCTTCTCTCCCCTCCCCCAGGATGCAGTGCTGAGAATTCTTTGCTCATGCAAATTCTAGGATTTTACCTTAAGTCCACCAACTTTCTTCACTCCACATTCCCTTCCTGGGAATAGCATTAACTGCTATGCTTTTTTCATCCTTTGTGCTGAATGACCCTCTAGAGCTGTATTTCTAGCCCAGACCTCTATCCTGAGCTCCAAAATCAAACAGCCTCACCAATCACGAAAAACGCCAACAGGTCCCCAAATGCAATCTCCTCCTTGCTTCAGCTCTGAGTTGGCCAATGGCACCCGCACCCAGGGGAGTCACACTCCTGCCTCACTTCTGATCACCAGGACCTAGAGGTTCTTGTTGTCTTCCCTTCCCAGTTGCCTTAGGCCCAGCTCACATCCTCCTTCTCCTTTCTGGTCCTTCTGCTAGCATCCCTTAAATGATTAATACTCCAGGGTCATATTTCTAAATGCAAAACTCATCACGTTACTTCCTTCCTCAAACCCATTGTCTGGGGCTGAAGTCCATACTCCTTTCCAGCTCTTCAGGCTAGCGAGCTGGTCTCTCTCCACCTCTCTCTGTCAGGTGTCCCCTGCACAATCCCTCCTGCTACTGGAAACTCCAGTCTGCACCCTGACCCCCTTCCACCCACTGAGCTGTTTCATGCTTCATAATCACTGCTCTTCTGGTTTTCTTCTCCTATTAGAAGACTCATTCATTCATTATTTATTCATCACACACGTACTGAATTCTTAACTATGTGATAGGCACTGTGCTAGTCTCAAGGAGTTTAGAGCCTGGCTGGGAAAGAGACAGTAAACATCTAAGCTATGGGGACAGAGGACAGGTAGAGAATAGGCTTCCCATGAGGTAATATTTGAGTTCATGTGAATTTTGTTAGAAGATCCTCTCCTGATTCTTTGTAAACTAAAATGACTTAGAAGGGTCCCCCCTCGCCTTTTTTTCCTTTCTTTTTTTTTGTTTTGTTTTGGTGAATCTGGGAGTTTAAAATGCCTTTCCCTTGAGATGAGATTTTGTGCTGAACTTCCTTCTAGAATTCACAATGCCCGCAAAAACCGAATCAGATGTCAAAAGTCAGCATTCCTAAGCAACCCCCAACCCCACACCACACATGACCCTAAGGCAGTGCAGAAATGCTCTCTTCCTCCTCAAGACTCCAGATAACATCAGGGCACCCTAGCCCTTCCCTACCTTGCCTCTCTGGCTGAGAATTCCTAAGACCAGGAGCAACATCCCTTTGGCTTTCAATTCCACACTTGACATCACGCAAGCCCACAGCCAATGTTTAAGGGTTCAAAAGGCAAAAATTCACTCTTTCAAGGTAAATTACCTTGTACATCCGAGCATAACTTTGTATAAACTTCTTGAATAACAACTGAGCATTATCGGGGCGCCTGAGTGGCTCAGTCCTTAAGCGTCTGCCTTCGGCTCAGGTCATGATCCCAGCGTCCTGGGATCGAGCCCCGCATTGGGCTCCCTGCTCGGTGGGAAGCCTGCTTCTCCCTCTCCCACTCCCCCTGCTTGTGTTCCTCTCTCGCTGTGTCTCTGTCAAATAAATAAATAAAATCTAAAAAACAAAAAAACAAAAAAACAATTGAGCATTATCTATGAAAACTTTAAAAGGCCCAGAAGTACCACTTCTAGTTAAGGCTCTACAAAAATCCTAGCAGGAGGCATAAAAAAAAAAGCCATGTACAGGGATGTCTCATTTCAACATCTGACACAGTTGCTAAAAATTAGAAGCAAATGTCAGCGGCCATCAACAAGAGATCTGGGTAAACAAATGATGACATGTTCCTTAGGAGGAAGATCCTCTTGCCAGTAGCTAGGAGACAGACCTATCCATATCAGTACAGAAAGATATTCATGTTGTAGGATGACAGTTATAGTCAAATCTTACAATTTATTCTAAGAAAAAAAACATATGTTTTCATGGCATACAGAAAAGTCTCTAAGAAAGCACCCCCACATTTTATGTTTCCAGGGCATGGGACTAGAAGCAAGGAAGAACCACACTTCTTTACTATAAACCTCCAATCACTGAATTTATTTGAATGCAATATTCCTTAAATATTCTTAAGTAAAAAAATGCTTTTTACTCTGAAGTATACATTATTTCAGGAAACCGAGATTATGTTTTTAAATTCTGAGGGTTTTTTAAAAGATGAAATGTTATTCACTGCTAAATTCCCAGGACCTAGAACGGAGACACTAAGCAGGCAATCAGTTAATATTTCCTAAATTAATAACTGCTGTGCAATTATAACAAACTATAGAAATGATCCCTGAAAGTATAGTCTTCTGTGCAATTATGAAACAGCTGCTCAGAGGGAAAGAAGTATCCAATATCTGCTTTATTGACTCACAAAGGAAAAAAATCACTTGCAGAGGTATCTTAACAATATGGTTATCAAATCTAAATGAGTTAGGATTTTTTTTTAAAAAGCAAGCTTTTAAAAAGCACACAAACTCTCATCATATAAGCAATCTCCAAACTGCCACGTTTGCCAAGAAAAGAGCTCCTTCCAAATCAATTTAAGTCACAACCTGGCACATGCCTGGTCGTAATACGAATAATCAAAAGATACTGGAAAACAGCGTGGGAAAACACAGATCCTGTAAGAGAAGAAAATCAGTAATGGTCAAAAAGCCATTAATTTTGATCTACTTCAAATTTGGATCTACTTCAAATTCCTTATTTGGGGAGGTAACTTTTAGTTTGGAATACTGAGACCACCTTCATCTAAACACATCAAAAGACCAAACAAGCAGGCTATAATCTTCAGATCCCCAAGAATGCCCCAAAGATGGCAGGCCCTCCATGACTACTGACGGGTGTGTGTGTGTGTGTGTGTGTGTGTGTGTGTGAGAGAGAGAGAGATACCTCCATGACTGCTGATGGGGGGGCGGGGTGGAGTGTGTGTGTGTGATATCTTGACTAATGAAAGACAAGCAAGGTTTCAAGGCTTTAAGGAAAAGGCCTTGCACAGGTTCAAATTTAAGTTCAATTTCTCCTTCCTTCTTTTTTTTAAGAAAGATGCAGAATATTTAACCACATATTAATTCATTGGGAAGGCTTATTTATATAAATAATGGCCAAACAGACCTCAGATGCCCCCCCCCACCTTCCCTGCAGTTTCCTCCCCAAGGGAAGGCACTCAGTACTTCTTTTGGGACACTTGAACACTTGAACCCAGAGGTCTACTTAATCCTAAAAACCCACATACTCCCTGGATTTTTTTTTTTTTCAATCACTACTCTTAATTCTAAAAACTCTCTTGAGAGGGAGATTTAATCCTCCCTATGAAAACACAGTAGGTTCCAAATCGCTTGTCACCAAAACCCAAGAATATTTAGAGAAGAGAAAGGTTAAAATACTCTGCCAAATTACTGTAACTGGTGTTTAGCAAGTGAGTGAGTTAGAAATGAATAATATATCAGTCCTTTCAGATTGCCCTCTGCAATCTCCTCTGCCTACCTGCTCTTTAACAACTGGATGTAAATTCTTCCTAGGTCGAGCGAGCGTGAGGCATTTCTCCCTCCGGCAATGACCGTCTAGATGAAGGTGTCTAAGTTCGTTGGGAAATCCACCACCTACAGTTTACTTACTAAACTCGTCCAAAGGTCCCAGGCCCTGGTCTTCACCCTCCCGACCCATTCTGCCACTCTGGAGATCAGGCGCCCTGTTTCTCAGTTCTCAGGGATCAGGCTTCGGTATGGAACAGGTGCGCAGTCAGTACCTGATTATGCCATTTCACGGCCCACCAGAACTAGGGGGAAAAAAAAAAAAACTTTGGAAGCCATCTGAAAGCAACGCCCGTGTTCACTCTGGCTAATAAAGAGCTACAAATGATGATTTTTTTTTTTAATTAGCATGCTTTCCATCTGAATGAATCCCACAGAACTTGGAAGCCAACATCGACGCGCCGCGCAGCCGCTCGGGTCTGGGCAGAGCGGGCAGCTGTGCCAGACGCGAACGCAGCCCACCCCGGGCTGCAGAGGGCGGGCGGCGGGGAGAATGGCGAGCGCCGCGAGCGAGGGCTTGACTCCCGCCGCTCCAGCCCCGAGGCCGGGAGCGGGGCCGGGAGGGGGAAGGGAGCGAACCGGAGGAGCCCCGGGCGCCCGCGGCCGCCGAGCCTGGGGGGGCGTCTCCCTGACAACCGCGCTGGGGCGCAGCCCAGCCTCAGGCCCCGGGGCGGGGGGGAAGGGAGGGCAGCCAGGGGGACCCCCCGCGCAGGGCTGGCGACGGCCGGGGGCACCTCCGCCGCTCAGCAGCCGCGGTCCTGCCTCGGGGGCCCCGTCCGGCCGCGACCCGCGCCTACCGTGTATCCCCGCTCCAGGTCGCTCTCCTCGTAGCGAAAGGACGGGATGTAGACCTCCATGGCCGCGCCAGCCGGCCGGCGGAGGGCGAGCGGGGGGCGGGCTCGCGGCCGCAGCTCCGCCCCCGGCCGAGCGCCCCGCCTCCCTGCCCTGCGCCCCCGGGACCCGGACGCTGCGCCGCCGGGCCCGGGAGCCGCCTCCGCCCCCGCCGCGCGCCGCGCTCCCGGGGGCTCGGGGCGGGGGGCGGGAGCCGGGGGCCGGGCGGCGGAGGGCGCGGGGCTCCGGGCACCTGGGTCCGGGCCCACAGGGCGGCGGAGCGGAGCTGGGCCCGGAGGAGGCGGGGCCTGAAAACCTGTGAGTCTGCAGAAAAGGGGTGTGCGCGCCTCCGCGCCAGGCGCCGGGGACCGGGCCGCACCCGGGCGCTCCCTGCCCTTCGGGCGCTGGCTGGCGCTGCGTTTGCATTTCGCCAGACACTGCCCTGAGCGATTGCAGGGCGGCGTGGAGCTGAAAAGCAGGGGAGCTCCTTGATGCTGTTCCCGATGTTTGCCTTTTCGTCTTAACTCTCGGCTGGCATTCACAGCAGTGAACCCTCCAACTTTTACCAAGACTTTTGTATTTCCCCTTGAGTCCAAGGTCAACGTCTCGTTCTCAGCAGACAAAGCTGCGGATGGTATTATATAGAACCCGAACGTCAGCGTGTCACGGAGACACACACTCTGGCTTCTTGCTCCAGTTTTAAAATGAGTAGCTGTTTGCGTGTTTTAACTGTAAGAGAAAACAGAACACACACACACACACACACACAAACACACACGAAAAAGAAAAAAAGAAAGAAAAGAAAGGTGAGGGCCGGAATCTGCCTGTTGGGCCAGGACCAAATAACCTGAAAGTATCTAAAAGATGAAGTGATCCACTTGAGGAAACTTAATTATCAGGTTACCTTCGTAAACTCCGAGTTTCTTCCTTAGGTCAGAGCATGGAGCAGAATAGAAACTTGGAGGTGACTTGTTTCACTTGGAGTGGCTGGTCACTGAAAAGTGACCTCGGGCAGTGAGCTTTGGGGCTGCAGGCGCACAGAGGCTTCTAAATCAGTGTGCTCTTGAGGCCAGGGGGCACTGCAACTTGGTAAACTCTAAAGTTGATGCTGAGCCCCTAAGTCATGGAGAAGAGGAAGAATCAAGCCCTTCAAGAACTTGCCTGATGGGGACCTGCGGAGCCTTCTGCCTTAGCCTCTTCTGAAGACCATCCTCCTCGCCCACACACTTGCAACTCCAGGATCTGCCGCTCAGAACTCCGTGCCTCTGCAGAAAGCTGTGCTCTGTGACCAGACCACCCTTCCTCTTCTGCGGGTCAGCACCATCTCACTAGGAAACAGCTCTATGGACACCATGCTGTCTGAGTTCAGAGCCTGGCTTGTGGTTCTCTTAAGCCTCTGATGACTATCACAATGCACTGTGTGATTTATTTATCTGCCTGACCCAGGAGGTGTTAGGGTGTGTAGCTTAAAAAAAAAAAAAGTTTTTTTTTATCCCCTGTTTGGCCTGTTGCCTGGCACATTTTTCTTGAAAGCTTTATAGAAGCATTTATTTATTTTTTTTAAAGATTTTATTTATTTATTTGACAGAGAGATAGCGAGAGCAGGAACACAAGCAGGGGGAGTGGGAGAGGGAGAAGCAGGCTTCCTGCCGAGCAGGGTGCCCGATGCGGGACTCGATCCAGGACCCCGGGATCATGACCTGAGCCGAAGGCAGACGCTTAAGGACTGAGCCACCCAGGTGCCCTTATAGAAGCATTTAAATATTCAATCTTTACAAATAGAGTAGAATGCAGCAGGTACTGTAGCAGATACTGTTACATACCATGTCTCAGTACTAAGCTTTTTAATAACCCCATGAGGAAGTGTTATGTGCAGTAGGACTTTAAAGACTAAGAATGAGTGTTTCTGAATATTGTTTTTAAAATAATGGTGAGGCTCCTGGCTGGCTCAGTCAGAAGAGCATACACCTCTTGATCTCCGTGTCATCAGTTTGAGTCTCACACTGGGTGTAGAGGTTACTAAAAAAAAAATTAATAAAAAAAAAATTGTGAGTCTTAAAGTTTAAAAAATAAATAAATAAAACAAAATAATAATGGCTGCTGATGGCAGAAGACCGAAACAATTTCCAGATTGGTTGAAACAACTTGTTTTAAGTCTCAGTGGGTAGGAGTGCCTGGCTGGCTCAGTCTGTAGAGCATGTGACTCTTGACCTCGGCCTCAGGGTTTGAGCCCCACGTTGGTACAGAGATTACTTAAACATAAAATCTTTAAAAAAAAAGTCTCAGTGGGTAATGTAACCCAGGACTATGTAATCATAAAGTCCTCACGCTAGAGACTGTTGATCTAGCTTTTAAAATGTTTTCTATACCTTCCTTTCCCCAAAGCTTGCTAGTAGCCTGGCATATACCTTTTTGTCTGGCATGGCTCACCTATTTACCTGTTGAACTTAAAAGGCAGAAATGTGTGGATCCATGAAAATCTGACAGATGGTCGGGATGCTTGGGTGGCTCAGATGGTTAAGCGTCTGCCTTCGGCTCAGGTCATGATCCCAGGGTCCTGGGATGGAGTCCTGCATCGGGCTCCCTGCTCAGTGGGGAGCCTGCTTCTCCCTCTGCCTCTCTCTCTGTCTCTTATGAATAAATAAATAAAATCTTAAAAAAAAAATCTGACAGATGGTCCAAATGAAACCTATTTGTTGTATTCTACTAATTTTTGGAGTCTACTAATATTAATATTAATTACATTATTATATAATATTATATAATATAGTATATGACATAATATATAGTATAATATATAATATTTATTATATATTATATAATATGTAATTATATAATATATAACTAATGCATTAATATGAATATTAACATTATTTGTTGTATTCTACTAATAGCAGTGTATAATTTAATTTTGCCTTGCTGAAAATCTACGTATCTCTCAATATGTGGGTGTGTTCTGGAGGGTTTATCAGCTCAGCCATAAGTGGGATTGATATTATTTCAATGATTACAGAGGCATAATTGAGGCTCAGAGGAAATAAATTAACTATGAAATTACTAGCTAATAGTTAGAAGGGCTAAATTTCTAACCAAGTTCTGTGAGTAACCCCTAAGAAGGGGAGAAAAGAATAGTTACAGAGAGAACATGGAAAATATATTATTGTGTTGTTCCTACATAACTTTTAGACTAAATCTACAATCTGTGACAAGCCAGCTAGATTTCTGCTCAGAAATTAATAAAAATACATGGTGAATACATATGTAAGACATTGAACAGTTAGAAGCAAAAAATTTACATAGGCAAAATAATAAAATTCTGCCAAAATCTGGGTATAATATCCTTATACTAAAAATGCCACATTTACCTAATATTGGCTAGAAACATATTTCAGCAAATTTAATGATAAATGGTTTTAAATACCAACTTATATTGGTTTTCAACCCCGAGATCAAAAGTTGCATGCTCTATGACTGAGCCAGCCAGGTACCCCTATATGAGAAGTTTAGAGCAAAATCTGTCAGGAATGTATATTACATATTCAACATTCAATTATAAGACTAATACATCATGACCAAATGAGAACCCGTGGAACATATCCCAGGAACATAAAGACAGTTAAACATTAGGAAATCTGTTCATGTATTTCTCAACATTTTCCTATTAGAAAAAGAAAAATAAATAAATGAATATCTCAGTGAATTCTAAAAAACCATTAGTAAATCAATATACCTCTTCCTAGTAATTCTTAGCAGGCTAGGGATAGCAAGAAACATTTTTAAGTTAATAAAGTTTAGCTACCATAATCCCACAGCAAATATCCTACTCAGCATCATATAAGGGAGCATCCTAACAGTGCCAATAATTTTATTACAACTATTTTTTTAAAGATTTTATTTATTTATTTATTTACTAGAGAGAGAGATTGAGCATGAGCAGGGGGCAGGGGCAGAGGGAGAGAGAATCTCAAGCAGACTCTGTGCTAAGCCCAATGCGGGCTCCATCTCACCACCCTGAGATCATGACCTGAGTCAAAATCAAGAGTCTGATGCTTAGCCAACTGAGCCTCCCCTTTATCACAACTATTCTTTCAAATTTTGCTGGAGGCCCTCACCTGTGAAATAGGACAAGCAAAAGACTTAAGAGGTACAGATATTGGGTAGGAAGACAGAAAACTAAGGCTGTAGATGAAATGATCTACATAGAACTGAGTCAACTAAAAAATGATTAGAATTAATAAAAGAGTTTTGTAAGGTGCCATATACTAAATCAATGTATACTACTCAAAAGATTTCCTATAAAATAGCTTTCTTACACACGAACATTAATCAGTTAAAAAATAACATAGGGAAAACCAAAAGATTTCATTAATAACAGTATTTAAAACTGATAATGTCTAAGGATAAACTTTACAACAAACATTCAAGACCTTGTGAAGAAACCTAAAAAACTTTATTAAAGGATGTAAAAGAAAATCTGAAAATAGTTATATCATCTTCCTGAATGGGAAGAATCAATTTTTTATTTTAAAGATACGAGTTTTCACAAACATGATTTATTAAGTTAATACAATTAAAACCCCAACAGGTTAAGAAAGTGACAAGCAGATTCTAAAATTCATTTAAAGAATGAATAGGTCAAGTTTGAACAAGAAGAAAAATGATTGAGGGGATAAGTTAATTTATACGACATCAAAACATATAAAGCCATAGTACAGATCTTCCTTGACTTACGATGGGGTTATGTCCTGATAAACCCATTGTAAGCTGAAAATAGCATCAAGTCAAAAATGCATTTAATAAACCTAACCTACTGAACATCGTGGCTTAGCCTAGCCAACCTCAGACATGCTCAGAACACTTCTGTTAGTCTCCATTCGGGCAAAATCATCAAACACAAAGCCTATTTTATAATCAAGTGTTGAATATCTCATGTAATTTATTGAATACTGTACTGAATGTAAAAAAAAAAAGATTGTTTTAAGTATAACAGTTGTTTACCCTTGTGATTGCCTGCAGCTGCCCAGCA